GCGAAACATGTATTGTCCATCGATCGCATTAATTACCGCTCTTTTTGTCATTATCTCTCGCGGCACTTCGAAGTGACATCCCACACGCATTGGATTACACTTATTGATGTTTATTGTAAGATTCATGATCCGCGATAACGCCCACCCATTCACGTTTTTGAAACTCCTCGAGAGATGCCAACGTGAGTTCGATGACGTGCCTCTTGCACCATTCACGCAAGTTCGATGTTTGAAAGAGTATTTTTAATCATAGTATTTTTAGTATTACTTTTATTGGCATGTTTATGACCCGTCGCCAATTCACGTTAGATATGGTGTTCACTTTTATACAGTTGTGTCTTGCACTCGCTCGAGCACTACATTGCTGATGTCTTCTAAAAATCGTCGCGGCTCGATGTAGTCCGTGTTAATTATCGCATCGATTAAAATTTGATTTTCAAAAACTGCATCGATCTCTTGCCACATAAAAGATCTTTCCGCGTTATTGTCATTGTTATTGCTAGTGCTCGCGTAATCACCAAAAAAAATGCAAAAATCATCTTTCTAATTTTTGTATCCTCGAGTCGTGCAATTGTAGCGATTACCAGGTGTGTAAATATGAAACCGAAATTTACCAATAGATGGCCAAAGCTATCAATGTAATTGTCGCCATTGACGCCATTTCCTTGTTCTAACATCTGACAAAGATTTTCAACTCACAACAATACAAGTTTCATACAACAATATAGTTTGTAATAGCGTTGAACATGTCGAATTTTGTGCCTGGAAACTACGATTTGCGGAGTAAATCACAGCATTGATTTTCTGTTACCATTTGAAGAAAACTGCTGCAGAATCGCATCGAATGCTTGTCGAAGCTTACGGTGAGCATGCTCTTGGTAAATCACAATGCTTTGAGTGGTTTAAAAAATTCAAAAGTGGCGGTTTTGACATGAGAAACGAAGAACGTGGAAAACCACCAAAAAAGTTTGAAGACAGCGAATTGCAAGCATTGTTGGATGAGGATGATGCTCAAACTCAACAACAACTCGCGGATCAATTGAATGTGATACGAGAAGCCATCTCCATATGTTTGAAATCCATGGGAAAGATCCAGAAGATAGAAAAATGGGTTCCATGAACTGAATGAAAAACAGCAGGAAAACCGAAAAACCACTTGCGAAATGCTGCTCGCCAGGCAAAAGAAAGTCATTTTCTCCATCGAATTGTGACTGGCGACGAAAAGTGGATATATTTTGAGAATCTTAAACGTAAAAGATCATGGATAACTCCAGGCGAATCGACATCGACTGCAAGGCCAAATCGCTATGGACGGAAGACAATGCTCTGTGTTTGGTGGGATCAGAAAGGTGTGATCTATTATGAGCTGCTAAAATCTGGCGAAACCGTTAATACTGAACGTTACCGACAACAAATGATCAATTTGAATCAAGCTGTGTGAAAAACGACCAGAATATCAAAAAAGGCAACACAAAGTGATTTTGCTTCACATTTGATAATGCACCATCACACACAGCAAAATTGGTCAAGGAAATGATTGAGGCATTTGATTGGGAAATATTTTCGCATGCGGCTTACTCACCAGACTTGGCTCCGTCCGATTACCACTTATTTGCATCGATGGGATACGCGCTTGCTCAGCAGCGCTTCACTTCTTACGAAGATGTACGCTAGATGACTGGTTTGGCTCAAAAGAGCAATTTTTTTGGTGTGGCATCCACAAATTGTCAAACAGATGGAAAAAATGTATAGCTATCGATGGGCAATATTTCGAATAAAATATTTTTTATCATTTTCATGCAATAAACGTGTATTTTCTATTTAAAAAATTCCGATTTCATATTTATATATCTGATAAAGATTGTCTGTGTCTAATGAAGAGATTTCGTGAATGCTTGATATGATTATATTCTTCAAGATTACATGTTCAATAAATTCATTGCACTCTTCTATCCATGCAAAATGGTCCTTCAAGATAGCAATTTGGGATCGCTTCAACAGATTGTTGCTCTGCCTGACTGAAATCTCGATCCGTGTTTATAACGATTTACTAACAGTAAGATGAGTTTGCTCTCATAGATTTCAATGTACTATAATCTGTAATCCCCTCTTTTCAGAACATTATGCGCTCATTTTCAAAATATGCTTCAAAAAACTATTCTAGAACTCTATTCTCATAAAAATTTATGAAAATATATAATTCTATCGAATTTCACTTACATTTACACTTCTATTAACTTTGAATCATATTGCAAAAAATATATTTGATTGTCATGTCCTCTCTCAAAAAAGAATAAACGATCGAGGCTCTTTTATCAAGAGAGGAAGACATTGTGTTTCAAAATCATTGATTTCGATAGCAGCCAAATGTTGGCACTTAATCGATTATTATGAAACTCGTATTTATTTAAAATAATTAATAAATGTTGTTTCTAGAAAAATTACATTACGCCATATCTTGACTTGGAAAAATGATTAGAGCATACACCGACGAGTACTCTTTATAATACTTTTCGTTTTATAATCATTTGTTTTTTGTATTGTTTTTGTTCATGATAATATTCCCTTTTTGTGATGTTTTTTGTTGTCTTGTACGTGACTACAGTCCCCAAAATCTGTGATGTCTTACTGCCACTCCGCATGATATACTCCCATCTCCGAAGAAACCGCGTCCCGTATTCCCCTTGGAACTCCCAAGTTAGAAACTCCCCCCTTCGCTCATTACACTACTAATAAACGTTATTTTTACAATAAATCGGTAGTGTACAATGTACACTATCATTCAAAAACTCATTGTCAGGAAAGTTTATGATTTTTTTGAATCTCACAAAAAATAAAAATTCCAATTTTATGGATCTCATCTTAATAAAAAACGACAATAGTCTAATACATGATTGCGTAATATAAACTAACACATGATACTTTTTTTTTATTTTCTACATGATATTTTAAATATTTACATGATATTTAAAAAAGAATTTTCAATTAATAATAAACAAAGAACTGGAAAGAATACATGCAGTAGGAGTCAAGCGCAGAAGACGTCGTGCAAATAATATATCTATGAAGTGTGAAACTTCTTTATTCACTAAAACGCGCTTACAGGACCTTACATCTTTTGAGCCTTCTTCAGAGATAATAAAAACTAACATATATAAAAACTAAGAATAAAAATTATCCTGTCATGATGAACTCCCCTACATCGAAAATTTAAAAAAGAAAAAGGAAAAGAAAAAAAAGAAAAGAAATTAGGAAATAGAATGTGGAGAAATCTAATATCAAATAATTTTAAAATTAATTTTTCAGAAATATTCAAAAATATTCAGAAAGTTTCTTCTTCCAGAATTTTTCATACATGTGAATTCTGAAATATTCTGAGATTTCTCATCCCATAATTTAAACAAAAATATTTTTTAATTTTTTAGATTTTATAACATTTCATCAGAAATTATATTTACAAAAAATCTTAGAAAGCTTACGATATTTCATAATTAAGATATGGTAATAAGATATGGAAAAATTCTGAGAAAAGATTTTCTGAAAAATGTTTCAATTTGTATAAAAAATGTGAGAAAATTATAAAATTATATAAAAATTCTGAAAAATTATATGAAAAATTCTTAGAAAAATTTTCACTACAGTCCTCAATAGGGAGCCCTTTATATAATCTTAGTCCTCCCTACATGTTAGATGAAAACTTAGAAAAAAGATCTGTTGATTTGATTAAAAATTGATTAATGATTTACATTCAACTCTAAAGCTGACTTTTCATGCACAACAGCAAAATGCTGTTATTGGTTGAAAATTTTTTGTGAGGTAAGGCACTTCCAATCAATTCTCGACAATTTAAATCATGTGACGTTTTATTGTCGCAACATATAAAAAATCAATTTAAATTACGTATATATATATATATATATATATATATATGTTTGGTGAAAATGCAGGATGGTAAATAAAACAGTAATTGTCTCTAGTAGTAGGTGCAGGATTGTACAATAGATAGCGCTGCAATATGTTATATAAGGATAGATGTATCAGTTTGAGACATATGAACTATGAGTTTCTGTTTGAGACATTGGAGTTGACAAAACAGTAACATATGATGAGAACTCTGATAGCAAAATGTCAACAATTTGATGGAGTCAAATTGGCAGCAAACTCGATCAGATTTCGACTACAAAACCGTAGCCTTCTATGTCCGCATTTGGCTATTATATTAGGATTTGTCGACAAAGCCTGCTGACAGATTTTGCCAGATTGGTGACAAAAACCGAGCAGAATTTGCTCGAATTAAGTTCTGTTCTCTCAATGTACTCTTAATCTATCAGGTTGTGCAAGCCTTTGTTCAGTTTCTGCTATCAATGCTGATATAGCATGTCTAGCAGGCTTTGTCATATTTCTGACAGCAATTTGCTGCCGATGTCAAATACAAATTCTGTGTACAATTTATTGCCTTTCTGTAATCAAAAATTGGTAGCAGGCTCTGCTCAAAATCTGTCTGCGCAGACTTTGCTATCAGGGAAATGAATTAAAAATATCATTATTGTCGATATTGAAATTAAAAAAGTTTTATAATATGGAATTTAAAAAATTCACTTCAGCATTTCCTACTAACTGGAGCAAACTTATCCTAAAATTAAAATATCGTATTAAAATTAAAATGTATATAAAATAGAACATATTATTAGGTAAAAAAGTTTTATAATATGGAATTAAAAAAGTTCACTTCAGCATTTCCTGCTAACTGGAGCAAATTTATCCTAAAACTAAAATATCGTATTAAAATTAAAATGTATATAAAATAGAACATTATTAGGTGTGGGAAAAAGTTCGTGGCGTTTTTCCCATTAGATGGCATTAAAAAAACGCCACGAACTTTTTTCCATACCTAATATTTATGTTATTTAAATGAGAAAATAAAATATTTCAAATAAATTTTTTGCCCAGAATATAGAATGAAATAGATTGTACAAATTTATATTCTTTGTCTCATTTAGATCCTTGTTTATACATCATGAGATTTGCGCATAAACTTGAATTTGGTGATAAAACTCACGCCGTATCTATGACAGCTTTAAGAGTTGTTCAAAGAATGAAAAGGGATAGTATTCATAGTGGCCGTAGGCCATCAGGTCTATGTGGCGCAGGTAAATATTTTATTATTTTAATGTATTATACATGTGTGTGTGTATATATATATATATATATATATAATGTATACATTAAATATATTAATTTTTTTCTGCAATAGCTTTATTAATAGCTGCGCGATTGCATGAATTTAGCAGATCAACTGCTGATATTATAAAAATTGTTAAGGTACACGAATCTACTCTACGTAAAAGGTAACATACGAGAAGTAACACTTTTCTCAGACATCTATATATAATATCTTATTTTTACTCTAACTCTCAAGGACGAGATGCTTCAATGATGGATTTTTCTTATATATAGATTGCTGGAATTTGGTGATACACCATCCAGTGCCTTAACATTAGACGAATTTATGACAGTGGATTTAGAAGAAGAACAGGATCCTCCAGCATTTAAAGCAGCACGTAAAAAAGATAGAGAACGTTTACAAAAAGTATATCATTTTTTAAATTTGTAATATTTTTTGTTTGTGAAAGTTTAAAATTATTATTTTAGCCAGCCGCGCCGCCGATTGCTTTCTCTTCCAACTCGATCCGACGGTCAATTTCAGAAATGGCTGTCAGTTGTCACGATATCTATCCTACTCTCTATAGTAAACTGTTGGAACTTTAATTTTTTTTCTTCTTTGTCACACAACGTAGAAATTTCCAATAATTTACTATGAAGAATAGTTACTACATCGCGACGACTGACAATCCCTGAAATGAGCCGGTAGAGTTGGAAGGGGAAGCGCTTGGCGACGCAGCAGGTTCGCGAGCCACTATCTGATAAGCCTGTTTTATATAATATATTCCTTTATATTCTAATAATATTTCTGATTTTTTTAGTTAGAAAATATAGATGTGGAAATAAATGAGCTGCAAGCAGAAATTGATAAACAATTAGAAGATTATAGAGTAGGAAAAGTAAAAAAACGAAAGGATGGTAATTGTGTTTTTATAATATACATTCTCTATTAACAATAGATTTAGTTTATACTAAAGTCGAGTGATACGGACATAAAAATATATTTTTGTATTTCTACGTTTATGGAATAATAAGATTCATTAATAAAAGACATAACTTATATATACTATTAAAAAACAGATACAATTGCACGCCTTATAATTTCTTTACAGTATTAAAAAAATCATTCATAGTTGATAGTATACATCATATTAAATAAACCTTAGGGAACATAAATCGAAAGCTCAACCTTTTCTAACATATAAACATTTTTGCATATTAGCATGAATGGCTTATTTGCTAGACTAATAAATCATTAATACACAATAAGTAAAAAATGTTAAAATCTAT